CTCTGTCTTCTCCTCAACATGCCCCCAACTACAACCTGCTGTCTCCCAGCCACCAGCCAAACTACGCCACCTATAAAGAAGGCTACAACGTTTACGGCATTGAGAGCGTCAAGATCTAACACGGGTAGGAGAGTGATGATTGATAGCTAAAACGTTGCTCACCTCACAGCCATAGACAAAGGTTTAACCAGGCGGCACTTCCCGGGTCAGCTGGATTCGGTGCAGAGCATCTTCAGTGGCACATATCCAATGTGTGTGATTTACAAAACACACAGGCTTCCCTAGAAGATATCTTAAAAGATACAGCAAGGAGAATAGTGAATAAATGACAAAATATTTGAATAGTCTTTACATTAGTTACCTACTTAGTAATATTTTTTTTCTCTAAATTCTTGCTCAGAAATTATTATGACGCCATATTAGAGCCATTGTATAAAGGAAGAAAAGACAGAAGAGGGAGGAGTAATTTTTTAAGAAAAAACTCAGAAATTTGAGTTTGAAAAATTAAAAAAATTAAAAAAATCTGAAATTCTGTTTTCTCAGGGATTTTTAGACTAATCTTAGAATTTCTCAGCTTTTTCTCACAATTTTAATCTTTCATTAAGATTAAAGAATTTCTGTTTTTTTACGCAAATTTTCGAAATGTCAAACTCAGAAATTTACGAGGTTTTTCGAGAAAATGTATTAAATTAATCCCAGAATTTTTGAGTTTTTCTCTGAAATATACTCCTCCTTTTTTTCTATCTATAATTACCCTAATACACCGTTGTAAGTTATAGGATCCTTTCTAAATGATCTGCTTTTACTTAGGTGCTGTAGAAAAACTGGAACAAACAGCTTCAGACTATTAAAAAAATAGATTATATTCTTTGGAATATGTTATATTCTCTGAAACTGGATTTGCCATTGAAGATGACAATTACTGGATTTAATTACCATAAATCCAGGTATGACATGAATTCAGCCGTTTTGATAACAGAAAAAAACCCACAGTGGCATGCAAAGGAAATTAAAGGTCAAAACTGTGTATGGCTGTGATTATCCTGGCATTTGTTTACTCCTTATCCTGAAGCTTGCTCACTCCTGCTCCCATTTCCCTTCACTCCTCTGACCAGTTCTTCAGCCTCTTTCTCTCCTCCTCCTGTGTGTTCTCTGAAATTATTCCTTCTTCCCTTTCCTGTTCTTCCCTCTTTTTTTGGTTTTTCACTCCTTCTCTGCCACTGTTAGCCTATCTACCCTTTTCCTCTGGTCCTTTGTAATTTCTTTTTTTCCAGCACTTTCCTTAGTTTATAGCCAATCATCCTCTTTGAAATAACTTATCGAAGGTGGACGTAGAGAAATAATATGGCTGAATGCATTTAAATAGTTTTTTTTTCATGCTTGCTTATTTAACAATAAAATTCAAAGTGCGTTCTGTTTTAGTCTGAAATCTGGGCTCTTATTTTGGTGGTATTATCAAAATCAACTATGTAGAATAAGCAAAATCAACATTAAGTAATTTTAAGCTTCTGGCTTATTATGTTTAGAATGTTTGTGAATAGTTAAAGCATTGAATATACTTCTTCTAAAGTTAATACTACCAAAATAAGAGCCCAGATTTCAACATAAAACACAAAATATTTAAAATTTATAGTCAAATCATCAAGAATGACACAACTATTTAAATGTATTTGATCATAATATCAGTCTTTTAAACCCGTTGTTCAGATTAGGGGGTCGGTCGTAACTTTTCAAATCAGTCCTTGCAGTTGATTTTTATCCTAATCAAATGACCACAAACATTTGATGGTAAATGTTTGAATACGGACGTTTCTTGGACTTTGGTTCTTATGGCCTTACAATGGCTTTAAAACGATTGTAGTTTTAGGCAATATGGCTGAAAAACTTATCACGAAATAAAAGTTTTATATCAGTCAATATCAATAATTGTTGATTAGTTTTTTGTTTTAACTGGTGCGGTGACCTTTTCTGTTTTATCCACAGTTTTCACTCCACAATGTTGTTTTTTAATTTTTAAGGAGTCACAAGATACGGTGGCGAAACCTTAAACTGCTGCTCCTCAAGTTACTCTACAGTTTGTTGCTAGGTAACCAAAGAGTGAGTGAGTTGCTAGGTAACCAAAGAGTGAGTGAGATGCTTGGTAACCAAAGAGCGAGTGAGTTAGCTGATTCCACTAACTTTGCTTAGCACTGTGACAGGTTGAGCAGCCTAAAGCCTTTCTTCTGCCTACATCTCCCAGAATGCTGTGCGGTATGCTGCAGTATGTAACTTTTGTTGAAATTTTTTAAAAACGTTTTTTACATATTTGTTAAAACTGCTATCATGTTGTGACAGGTTGTTATGAGACAGATAATCTGGGAAAAGATAAGAAATGCACCAGGCTGTCAATTATCCTCATGTACTTGATGCTCAACGTGCTAATGAAAATGAAAAAACTTACTGTTACAGGAAAACCATCTGTGGCTATGCTAACTAGCATTAGCATTCAGAACAAGCTTTGCTAGCTTGCAGCGTAGCAGAGACTAAGGGGGAGAGCGGTGCCACACGAGATTGTAATTGACAGCACTAAGACCCGCCTCCTGGCAGTGATTGGTTGTTTTTGATGCTTTTCTTCAGATGGCAATAGTAGCTTAGGAAGGAGATTGATCTTATCACAGATTATCCGTCTCATACTACACTGTCACAACATTATGACAGTTTTAACAAATATGAAAAAGTATTTTTTTGATCAAAGTTACACACTACAGTTTTAATTTCAATTCAGTGGTATTAATCACAACACCTCTGACACCAACCAAATCAAGGTAAATGTATTTTCATTCCCATACAACTGAGTTTTTTTTGTTTAATTTTGCCAACCACTTACTATTAGAATTACAATTTATTATTTTTCACTGTACACATGCACAATGAGATTAAAGATTACATTACATCTAGCTGTTATTTTATGTCTGATGTGTAATTCATTACACTAAACTGAACATGTACTGGTACGCAAAGCAGCTGTCACATTGTTTCCTATACTTGTGTGCTGGCGTATTGAAAAGACATAACATGTGGATGTAAACAAGTATAATTCAGTGTTCTACTGCTTCAGGTTTGTTACTGTTCTGTAACATCGCCATCTCATTTTATTTATTTTGTTTATTTCATTAAAAAGGATCAGCTCACTATCTGAGAATAAAATGTTCTGGGGGTTAGATAATTACTATGAGAATGAATCAAATGGTAAGTAACAGTTTTTGTTTTTAGTTTCAAGCATCCAGCATCCTGAGGTGAGTAAAGCCTCTGCAGAAAAATTGTGAGATTCAGGAGTATTATTGGGCTTTTGTTGAGATATTTGATTAGCAGTGGCATTGATTCTCCAGCAGTCATGCAGCTGAACTCATGCGGAGAAACTTTTTCTGACTTACTTGATCTTAATGCATTTGCTACAATGTTTTATATATATTTATTAAAACTGTCATGATGGCATGACAGTGAAATATATAATAAATAATCTGTGAAAAGATACATTTTTGTGCCTGTGTGGATTAATAACATTAAAATATCTGATAATTTATTAATATCTCCAGGATTTAAGCTTTTTAACTTAAATTGCTCATATAAAGAATATGGTTTTAAATATGACCATTTTTTTATTAGCCTATTCTTTCACTGTTTTTTTAAATATACAACTATTGTGCAGTGTAAGTTGATTAACTCAGTTTAGAGAATGTGTATCAATGAATGTATGGTTGCATTTAATAACTTAAGTGCTAGTTTACTTTAAGAATTATTAGTTTAATACCAAGAAGTAGTTTTGGTTGAGTAATTAACTGTTTTACCATTAATTTTTGCATTTTGTGGTGTACAAAAAGCAATGTCCTGAAATATTTATCGATATTTATTGGAGTCAAGACCAATGCTTTGGTCTTGACTCCATCCCTGATCGCACACTACACAAGACTCCACTACTGAAGAAAATCAATGTTGTTTAAAGAACTTGATGGTTGGTCTTAAAAACACCTTTTACACTATTGCTGCTGCATCCAGAAACTTTACCTGGTAACATTAGAATATATAGAGCTTTTCTGGCATGAAATGTCGATATTATTCATGAGTAGCGGTGACATTAAACGGTATATGTGTAAGAAATTGACAGACGTAACACCAAATGCAATAAAATCAGAGTTTATTATTGAAGTCCTGTTTAGTCTGCTTTAATTAAACTAGTTTGTTTGTCTTGTTTGTCTGGTTTGTTTGTTGAGGTGTGAATGCGTAATCAAACTCTGATGTGGACCAAAAAAGCAAACTCTGGTAGGCCTGAAGTGAACCCTGCTGCAGTTCGAATGCATATGTGGATGTAAGTGGACTGGAAATCGTTCCAAAAACAGGAGATGGACTACAGCACAGGGCATTCTGAGTAAATCCAACCAAAACAAATGCAAGAATATAATGTTAGAGGGAGTTTTTCTCCTGTGAAAGAGAAAAAAAGCAACTAAAATCTGACCCCACTCCATTTTTGTTTATATCTTGTGAAAAAGAAGTTGTGCTCTGTGACTTCTTAAGACGTTATCATGTTGTTTCCTTCAGTAGTTTCTGGTGTAGCGCCACCACAGGTGAGGAGGAGAACAGGTTTTTCAAAGGGTTTGGTTGATTTGACACAGTGGAGTGAGAAAACAAATTGCAGCAGCTGAAAATGTAGCAAATGTTTCAATTCTTTTGTCCCAAATCGAACTGAGTTAACTGGACTATCAGATGTGAAAACTCCCTTAGTGTAACAAACACAACAGTAACAACTTTCCTTAAGGATTAGCAACGTTCAGACAACTTGTATTGCTTACACTGTTTAATTTCTCTATTTTACTACAAAAAAATCAGCTCAACCCAAGATCAGAAATCAGCCTCAAAATTCTGATCGGATCATCGCTACTAACTGTATTTTGCAGCACAATACCTGCCAGCTTTGATTAATGTCGCCATTTTATTTAAACGTGACCTTTTTTATCCCTCAACAGATGAAATTCACGGATGCAATGCGCTCGAAAGCTCGTCTGTCTATCACCGGGTCAACGAGCGAGAACGGCCGTGTTCCAGTGGCTTACCTTCGCCCAGGATTACCCATGAGCCTCAGTATGACTGACCTCTCATGACCTCACACAAGTCAGTGCCTTACAGCCAGTCAACACACTTTCATCAATCCCCGCTGTAAGGGAAGTGGACAGGAAGGGTTGCCCTCTTCGAGAAAAAGAAAAGACACATTACCAGTAATAATAACGGGCAACCTGCCCCGCTTTCTATTCTGGATTTTAGTCATTCAAAACTCTAGAAACTCTCAAATCCTTTACATCTGGTCTGTAAAAACAAGGCAGATGTCCTCCTGAAAAGACCTGCCCACTTGTAAGTGAATCAAACGAAGATCGAAGGGAGAGACGGCTGGTCCTAGACAAATCCATGACAAACAATCAAGCACAGAGGACAGTTTTTTAAGTCAAATATTACTTGTTTTGTAGATTTTTGCCATGGAGGCTTCTCTTGTACAGAAAACAAGGACAACAGTGATGCCGATGTTCATGCAATAACAACAGTTATCAGGGATGCGATCAGGAACTGTGGGGATACAAGCTGGACCTTGTTTGAAATGTGTTAAAAGTGCCATGAACAAAAAACTGATGTCCTGAAATATCAGTATGTATTGTGATAGATAATGATGTGATTGTCCCGGTTTTTTTCTTCCGTTTGCCTGTAAATCCTTATTTGAGAAACACGTACAAACAACAAACACAAAATTTAAGAGGAGTTCTTGTTGGTGAGGTTCTGGGATTTTAATTATATTTAGTGATGCTGTTAAAAACACCAAACTCATGCAACTAAGGTGGACATCCATCCTTTCTTTTCACTACATATTGTAGTCAAAACGTCCCGTATTAACATTTTTCTCTTGTTAATGAACAGTGTTTTATCTGATCTACTATTTTAGCTGCACTCCACCTTTATAAAATACTCCAAAAAATGAACTTATCTGAGGTTAGCCAAAGAGTCAAGCTTCTCCTGGGTGAATTCCCAGCAAGTTCTGAGTTTTTCCCAGTATCTCTTCCCAGTTGGACTTACCTAAACCCCCAGTTACAATCTTAGGATAAACCTCAGCTCCTTACTCTCTAGCTGTGTTTCCATTACAAATCTGCGCAAAACTTATTCGAAATTCAGCTAATGGCAAAAAAAAACAACAACACATAATTTCACAATTGTGGTGTTTTCATCTAATAAGAAATTAAATTAAAACCACATGTGAATAAGTTTGTTCAGTAAAAGTTATGGCAGCGACGGATGTAAACGGTTACATTACACCAGAGACAGTTGGACGTTCAACAATAATCGAATACATTCTTTGAACCAAAAGTATGAAAATTAAAACTGAGTAGCAAAACCCAAACTAAAATTAAATATTTGACTAATAATAACTAATAAAAACTAGCAAACACACTCTAAAAACTAACTTTGAATTAGACAAATAGAAAGTCTAATTTTTATTTCATTTTTACCAGATTTTTGACGTTAAGGTGATAAAGGAGAAGTGTAATCGTATTGTAAAGCGATCCAGTGGTCCACATGTATGATAATGTCCAAATGTAACGAGGGAAATTAAAAAATAGATTATTTAGTTTCTGAACGTTACCAGTAGAGTTCTGTACAATTTCTTCTAATTATTAATATTGTTCTAACATTTTGAAAGAAAACAGCGTCCGTGCACAGATTAAATTAACAACCTGAAAATCCTTCAGAGCCACAAAAGACATTTTGTTTAGCTTTTTATATATACACTGCACTACATCTGTTTCTGTAAATATGAAGATGTGAGATGAATTTCTCTTCTTTTTTAAAACCAACAACAGATGCTCACACTGTTTACTGTACATGGTGTACACACTTAAAACGCATCATGCCACTCATCCCTGCACCCTTACATTTGCATGTGCGTTTGCACATACTAACAGAAGAGTTCTGAAGCCAAGTGTGTGATGTGCCAAACGGACTGAGAAGCAACCAGAGCTCTCAACGGCAGCTGCTGAAACTGAAACCTGAGCCAGCAGAAGCTCTCATCGCCGAGAGACGGAACAAAAATAATGTGAAGACTTTTTCAAAACTCCACTGCATCGATGGTGCCAACAATGACAACGAGGAGGACGATGAAGAGCGGACAAAGAGAGCATTTGCATGTCACTTAATTATTTCTTTTCTTTCAGATCAACCTGTCAGCCTGAACCCTTGTGACTGGCTGCTTAATAGTGTTTGATAATGATAGCCGTTAGAAGAATATAAACGATATTAATTACAGTACTAATGTTGTTCCTGTTATGTAAGTGTATGCTTTTCGAGAATTTGATTCTGCTGTTTTATTTCTACAAAAACTGATTTTTGTTCGACTAGTTTTAGGCTTAATGAGAAGCTAAAACACGCTTCAAACGGCCAAGGGGTGCGCCTCAGTTTCTGCTAAAAGACATATCATTGTCGCCATGATCACGTGACTGGTTTATCTTTGGGACTTAGGCTGAGTTCACACTGCAACCTGAAGTGACCCAATTCCGATTTATTTCTCAAGTTGGATTTGTTTTTTATTTTATTTATTTATTTATTTATTTTGGCGTGGTCGTTCATACTTCCAAATATGCGACTTGTATATATGATCTCCAGTGTGAATTGGAAATGACCTGAAAGTGTCCCGCATGCGCAGTAGAGGGCGCAATAACGTCACACATAGAGAAGTGCTTAGTGTTTTGCCAACCGCCATAAAAAAGAAGTAGTGCTCAGTGTTTGCGGAAGTAAATATGGATGCTAATGGTGGAGCTTAGCTTACGATTTTGAAGTTGCTGTCTGACCGGAGCAGCATATTAACAAATTAATCCTCATTACGGTCCGCCATGGTTGTCGTTTTCCTTCCCGCTTGCACGTATCAGGACGCAGAATAGTGACGTTTGTCGAGTATCAGTGACGTTCAGGTTGGATCAATGCGACCTGGATGTTAGGCTACATTTCAATCGGATACCATCTGATACCCAAGTGGCCTGGGTCGCATTAAGGCAAACAAACAAACAAATAAATAAATAAATCGGAATTGGGTCATATCGGATTGCGGTGCAGCCTAAGGTGTGTGGAAATCATCACAGTTCATTGCTGATTCTGTGTTTGTTTTATCTCTTGTTATAAAAAAAAAAGAACTTAAATTAAAAAAAACGTTACTTTTCAGTGGTGAATTTTTCAATGTAAGGCAGTTTGTGGGTTATATTTAACATATTGCCTCGTGATTACATGAACAGGCAGAGCGGTACTGTATCAGGGTGACATTTATCAAAAGGCTTGGGACAGAGTGCAATCTGAATCTGTTACTGTAATATTTATTATGTATGTGTGCAATTTGAGTTGGTCTTTTTATTAGTGACTACGTCTGATGCTAGCTAACTAAAATACCCTGCAAAACTACCAACAAAACTATTTCACATTTTGTCATGTTACAGTTTTTCATTGGATTTGTGGATTTATTTTATGTGATAGACCAACACAAGTGACTCTTTAAAATTCTGACAATAAACTGTAGAACAGATGCAGGTTTTAGCTATGTTTCAGTGTTTAAATTTAATAATTGCTTTTAATTTCCACAACAGAATTACACTAAAAGTAACAGGCGTTTCCGTTATTTTGATCTATTTTTCCTAAATGGCTATGATTATGTGCAGATATGAACACTCCATCTTAAAAAATGTAGCCATCATCTTTTTAGAGGAAAAAAAAGGTTTTCTTTATGTTTAAACGTAAAAATAGGAATCAAATTGTGGTTCTTTAAAAATAATAGATTTTCTGTAGTGGATATTTATCAAAAATTATAAGTTGTCTTTTACATGTTAAGTAATATTTGCAGCTCTAATAAAGCAATTTTTTATTTTTATTTTTTTAATTAGGAGTATCGGTATGAAACATACACATATAACAATTATTAGCTTTTAACTAAAAAAAAATCATAATTTTCATTTATTATTCACAATGTCGTGTTGGTCTATCACATACTTTGATGCTATACATTGAAGTTTGTGGGTTAAAGTGACAAAATGTGAAAGAAGTGTTTTGCAAGGCAACATGTGAAGGAGCCAGAACTCAAATGGATGCACAGCTACATATCGCCTCTGCAGGCGAGCTCCTGGTTATGAACAGGACTTAATTTGTTGTGTTATGACTTTTTATTTATGTTATTAATATGCAAATGTCACTATAAGGGGGATTGACTGTATTCACAAATGAACACTCATTGTGTTGATACTTGGTTTGTAATCTCAATATTTACAGTAAATATTAAACGTGCATGCTCTCCACCTAATTGTCTGAGTCATGTATTGTTTTTTGTGCATGTATGCTAATTTTCAGTGGTGGGAAGTAACGAAGTACAAGTACTTCGTTACTGTACTTAAGTACA